AGATGTCTTTTCTCTTATCTCAACCTCCAGTTGGTTTGTTGGAATCTGGAATACAAAAAAACTTCAAGATAACGATAACAGAAGACTTACTGAAGATTCTTGTGGGAACAAAGCCAGTGCAACCGGAAGAGAAATGGCAAATGACACTGTGCAAACCATGGCATTAACTAGGAGATGTCGAACGGGCGAAGATTTCACCCATTTGAGCCTGAAATTGTGAATGCTAGGAAAACACCAAAGAGCAAGTGAAACCTCTCAATAAATGGAAGTATACAAGGAGGGATTAATAGTAAAGGAACAGGTAAGAATGCTCTGACAAGAGTTGTATCTCTTACAGCCTAAACAGGTTATACGAAAATTGATCATTTGAGCATCTGGGACTACCGCTTTGGCTGCTACTTTTGACACTCCAACAACTTGTCCATCTTTATCATAGACTTCAATTCCGGTCTTCATTTCGTTCCATCGCATGAAAATGCAATTGAGAGAGGAAGCTAACGATGTTGCCGGCAGAGGAACAAATCTCTGCAAACAGAATAGATCTCTTTGTCGTTTTCGTACTCTCAGGCTGCCCCGGAGACTTGCACCTTACCTGGATCACTAATCTTGTAGTGGTTGATAATGAACCCGAGTTTTTGATAACGTACGTCAAACCTTAACATTTAAAAATTAATGTCACACAAAGTTCTTCTAACCTCCAGAAATGGAACAGGCGGCAGTGACAGCCATGGCATACGCTCCTACGAATTTAGAAATAGGCTGAGGCTGAATACAGTTTGTTATCGAAGATGATCTGAGTTCCAATTCTCACTTGACTTGCATTGCGATTGGCATAATTGACCATAGCATTATGGGATTGATTCATCCATTGCCAGAACAACAAAGTTGGCCATGAAGGGTTAGGCAAAAGCATTCCAGTTACCTTAAATGTTCATTTCCGGTACTGTTGTTTGCATATGATAAGGTACTGTTATCCATCCGAATGGTACATAGCCACTCATTCTGAACGGCTGGAACACCTTCTCTCCTGTGTCTGGATGAAATGTAGCCTGTTTAAGCTTTTGAGCATCCCAGAGTTGCCTGTCACTTATATCCTTATTCCCATTTTTGTATGATTCCAACAGTTTTAGACTGCTCTCTATTTTCTCCTTAAAAAGATATGAATATAATGTAAGGAACAAGATGTTCCTACATCGCTGACAAAGAGTGTTCTGGGATCAATGACATCCAAGTAGTGTAGATATCTGCCAACGAATGTATCTTGTGGGAAGCGGGGCTTTCCTTCTTGGAATTTAGGATAAGCCGGGAATCCGAATAATTTATTTTCACTCATTGAAAGTGCTAAAAAAAGAAAATTCAAATAGATATAGGAAGCTGGGAAGTTTATGTTTGAATAAACAAATGGAAAGAGGAAGAAGAAGAAAGAGGAAGAACGACAACACTGACGGCAAAAGGAAAGTAGAAAGTAGTTGCAGCGGCAGACGAAACGGAATGGTTGAAAGACTCAATCTGTTTAGAAAGATATTATGGGAATATCTATATGGCTTATTGATTGTTTGTCGTTCACGTGTGTTATCATTGATTCTTATCAATTCATCTCACTACTTCAACTCTCATCTGTTGTTGGCACAATTCTCTCATTCCTTTTCGACCGTGTTCATATAAGACTTCAATCTAATCAATTCAAATACATAGACAGATGAAGAAGCGAAACAACAACAACAATACAAAAAGCTGAGATGGAGTATTAAAAAATCAATTGAATGACGCCAGTTCATTACGAGATTCTCACTTTATTCACTTGCTGTAATCAAATGCAACAGCTGTTGTTCTCTGACCCAACTGATGATGATGAAGAAAACGTTTATGAAACAGGAACCGAAACATTCCAAAAAAACTTGAAGACGAGACAATTACGAAGGTGAATGAAGATGCACAACCGCTCAACTGCGTCTCAAGCAATTTCGAATGAAATGGCTGTGAAGTTCATTTACAAGTTCATCACATGTTGTAGAGCGGTCGGCATTATTCTCGCAACGACAAATGGTCTCTCTTGCCAAACAGATAAACAATGAGAGAAGATGTAAAAAGAGTTCTTTGGACTATTGCTTGAAACAAATTAGAACGAGATTGATATTCGTTCATTATCTCACTGTTGTATGTGTGGTGTATGTGTGGAGGATGAAGCCTTTGCCATATCTCGAGCAAAACGACGAAGATCAAAGAAAATGCCATTCCATTTGAGCATATCTTTCATTTCTCATTTCATATGATTTATAATACTACAGGAACTCCAATAGAATTATTAAATATTGGATTTCCATCCGTATTGGAAGTATCAAGAACGTTTCATACCTTATTCATTCCATGCTCTATTGTAACCAACTTGTTCACAGCCTATGTTATTCAAACGAAGAGTTTCTATCTCAGAGGTAATCTAAAGAATTATGTTATTATCAATCAGGTAAGCTTCATCTCTTACGTATATCATCTCATTCTCATTCTTCTGCAGCTGTTCAATGCTTTTCTGGATTTAGCCATTAGTGGACTTTCACAGCCAATCCTCTTCCTTCCTCACCTCCTTGTAATAACTACTGGACCGATTAATTCCATTTTACCAACTTACTTCCAAGCTGTAAGTTTCAGAAAATTGAATTTCAATTGAATTCCATCAGGTCCTATGCATATCTCTCTTGTTCCTATCATGCTCGTCTTGCTGCAACATAGCTTATTATGAATACCAAACAGTGCTCCCGTACAGCTCCAGATGGAAATTGAAGAAATCCAAACATGTTCATTTCGTGTGTGCCCTTTCCAACATCTATTGGACGTTAGGCTCAGCCATGGTATTAGCCTGTGGTTTCCATGATCAAGAAGCGCAAAAGAGCAAGTTTCAACAGGTGATTATTAAAGGGCAACAGATGAAAGCTATCAAAGGTGTTTAGACCTATCCATGGTCTCAGCTCTTATTCAGCCATCATAATGTCTACGTCGATGACTTTCTTCTCAAAGGATCTTACTTTGCAGCATTCGTCTTTCTATTTCCTAGTAATCGTACTCAATCTCAAAAGCCGAAAAAACTGAATTTTTCAGTAATTTGGATTCCTCTGCTAATTGGACTTCCGTTTGCATCCCTTCGAGCTGCCAAAAGAATCAATTCCCATATGAGCATCAAATTTCAACAAAATCACCAAATTATTATAAAAACACTCTCTGTTCAAGTACACTTGCCCATAGAAGTCTTTGAGAGGAGAAAAAATATATTTTCAGATATATTTTTCGATTATATTGATCGCCGTCCCAGTAGCTTGCATCTTCATCATATTAGCATTGCGAATCCAAAACAGCTCCATCGCAGGTATCTCATATCATCCTTAGATGCATATAGTTACAACTCTGCTCTAGTTATAAGTACAGCTCTGATTTGGGTTATATCAATTCGTTCCATATGCACATCCATACTAATCCTCATCATATGGAAGAGCTATCGTCAGTTCACATTGAAACGGCTATGCTTCTGTCTAATGGTTCGAAGCAGCTATATCATATCCGTAATTGCCTTATTAATTTCAGAGCTCTGCAAAGACTGATCGAGCAATGAGTATAACAAGCATTTCTCAGATATAGCATTTGAAATGCAACCGCTCATTGCAGGAGAAGAAATAGAAATGAAGGATTTTCATCCCACGTATACTCACGTATGCTAATCCCATGATGTCATTTGCATAAATTAAAATGTAGAAGAAGAGAAGCAAACGATTTTTTATATGAAAGATAGACAGTTGGAGATGTTTCTCAATGCCATTCAAAGGAACAACAACGATTTCATTTGAAAGCCTTTCAGCTTCTCCATGTTCTGCTGCGTTTCTTACAAACACATCTTATCAATTACGAGTGAATGATATAAAATATTTTATTTTTATTATTTAATTTCACAGATAAGCATCAGTATCAAGTTGAAAAACACATAAGCTTACATTAGGCAGCACTATCTTGAGTAGAACCAGAAGATTCAAGAGTTGTCAATTCCATTCGCGGAAATCTCATCTTAAAAACAGAAAGCGATAGATTGAAAGAAGTAAAGCTATGGATATACTCTTGCCAATCCTCGTTCCTTCAATCGTCGTTGATATTGCTCGCGTGAAGTTTGTAACACAGAATGACATCGTTCAGGGATACGGACAGTTAGGTTGGTTCTCAGACCGTTGTCTACATCAAGGAAGTCTATAATGAGATGAATATGTATTTTGGGAACCATATTAAGAAGATGGATGTTTCAATAGATCAAAGAAAACATACGTGAATCACTTCCACGACGTTCAGACATCAAGCGATCCGTTGGTGGAGGAGGTGATTGATCTGGATCTTCGATAAAAGTGAATTGAGTTGGTCGATCGGGAATGAGTGAAGAGCTATGAAAGAGAGGAGACCGGCATACCTAAACATACACACATTCAATTATGATTGCAAGTGATAGACATACTTGTATAGGTGGCTTTGCAGCAACATTCATCATGTGCATGTATGAAACCATATGTTGAGGTATATTGTGAAGAGCTTGTTCAGCAATTCGCGATTTGTTCTGTGAAACACTATCTGTCTCATCGAATAGTTCAGATAGAGAACAATACTGAAATGAAGTAGTTGAATGAGAATGAATGATTCAACGGATTCCTTACTTCCACACAATCACGTTTGAGATCTTTCCGTTTGGATGCAAGCTTCATTAAAGGTGTGAAATCGGCTGATCCGATGCCAATGAAAACAATAGAGAGTGGAGCTTCAGCAACTGCTTGTAAGGACACAATAACATCCTGAATAAGGAAGTAGAAGGAGAGAGAGATAGAGAATGAAAACCTTCATATCAACAGGTGGAGATCGGGCAAATATTGTGAAGATATGGTAATGCAATCCACGGAATCCCGATTGTTGTGATAATCTGTCAAATGAATAATAAAATATTTTTAATTATTCTAAAAGTACCGGGTGACATATTGGATAATTGGAGCGAACTTAGCATCCTTAATAGGAGTTACTATAGATTCAGCTTTTCGATAGGCATCCATAACGCCATCCAATCCACGGCATGCCGGATCTAATGCGAAGTTCAAATGGAACTCGTGTGATTCATGGAAAGTTGGTGGAATCTTAGCTCCAACACCGAATGCAGCGAACAGCTTATTCCTATAGATGTTACATGTTTACTAGTTAGTGTGCTAGATGACTCACGGTGAGTAGTCTCGAATGATACTTCCAATGGCTCTCATAGAGATTTGGAAGTCAGAATCGAATCGGCGATTGTCTATTCGATTCTTCCCCTCATCGCTGGAGAAGTCAACTGCCAATTCGAAATGAAGTTGAGTGCCGCTGACAATATAATCGAGAAAAGAGAAGAACGAAACATCAGTGAACTTCACTAATTCCATTTTTCCACTATGTTCGTAATTCTGAAAAGAGATGGCGACGTCAACGGAAAGTCAAAGTCTAAACGGTACCTTCTTCTGCTGTTTCTTCGTCTCATTGATTATGTGATATATGTTATCGGGGCCGGGGCCATACTTCATTTTTGCATATGTTGTTAAGAACTTCCCAATGTATCCTTCACTGCCATCTACATCCCGATACCAAACTCTAACTTCTAATAACCTATACAACAGATCATTCTCAAATGGTATTGTCTTCAACATTCAAACCTATTACGATTATCAGCTGCGTCTTGAGCTCCAAGTGCAAACTCGGACCAAACTGGATGTGAATGATTTTTGATAGCTTCACTCTCATACAATAGAACCAAGTAATCTTCTTGTTCACCTTCTTCTAATCGGTAAACCTTAACAACACGGAAGCGTTTCAAATGCTTTCAAAAGTCAGCTTACTCTGAAGAATACGGCTGTTTCATCCCACAAGAAATCTTTCCTATCGATGCCTTTTCCTTCAAATTGACAAACAATCGGTTGTTCTCTTTCACCCATTTGTCCTGAATGAAGTATTACATAGACATCTTTACATGTAACTCATACCTGATATTAGAACTCCACCCATAGATGGTCCTGTGTTCTTTCCAGCAAACACTCCAGCTATGGATACCTTAGTTCTAAGAAAGGAAGAGAATGTATTGATTAGACTCAAGTAAGCTTACTGAAGACATCGACGAAGATGTAATCCGAAAGATCCAATAAGCTCATCAACCTATTTATATGAAATAATTATAATTTCCTGGAAGATACTTACCTTGAACATGCAAGTTCCGAAGACGTCATTGGAAGAACAAGCCTCTTCTGACGGAACTCGACATCTGAAAAATATTCGAAAAAGTTTCAAACTCAAATAAACTTAAAACTTACATTTCAACCTTAATTAGCTGTGTCTTTTCGAATTTGTAATCAAAGGTAAACTTTTCGGAGAAAAATACATTTCGTTTGATGACCGCTGTAAACACATATTGATTAATAAGAACAACAAAGTACAACCGCTCATTGCGTATATCAGTTCAAGAATGAAATGGTCAAGACAGTATGAGCATGTTACTTACCGGCAGGTTCTGAAGTGCCAAGAACTGTCCATTTGGAGTCGTTCTCAGTTTCATTTGCCCATAGAATGCAAATTACTTCTGTTGGTAAATCTTGAATGGATAAGTTCCTGAAACAAGGATTGTGTGATGTGGATGAATGAATGAGAGACTAGCTTACCTTAGTGAAATAGTTATATCAATTGAATCATACATTAGACTTGTGGCATTTATAGTCGATGGAGCCCTTATTTGGCTATGAAAACGGTTATTGATAACAACAGGAGGATACAAACGCGGTGTTCCACCAATAGATCGGCTTCTTCTCTCTGAGCCAATTGATTTTGATCTGAAGAGGATAAGATGTAAGAGATAGTCTTAATGAATGTCATATAAGGATTAGCACAAAGGTTTTGATATTTGTAGAACAAAACATATTCCAGCCTTGACGAGGCTATAATCCACAAAAATGAAATTTCATCTCAAATTCCATCTCGGAATGTGTGTATGTGTGAGTATTAGGATGAGAGTGAGAGATAGGGAGAGTAGAGAAAGTTCAAAAAAACTATTGAAAGACGCACTTTTTGTATTTAATTTTCAAAAAAGAGAAAAGATGTCGCATTTACATTTATTTGGGAGTCGGAAAAAAGGAAGAAAAGGCAATCAAATGAAAACTATGAAATCGAATATGTCAGTCAGAGAGAAACTGCTTGGAAGAGAAGTGAAGATAGATGGAGAAGGCAGAGAATAAAAGCCAAAAAAAGGATATTTGAGGTGAAAAGATGGTATAGTCATGACACGCAGATGAGCACAAGCTTTGATTGATTCGAGCAGAAGGAGAAGGAGAACATATAGAGAGAGAGAGAGAAGGAGAATGGAAGATGTCTAATAATAGAAAAAGAAAATAATAAAAGAGAGAGAGGAAGTAAAGCAAAAAAAATGAATCTGTCTTAGAAGGTAGTGAGTGAATGAATAAGAAAGACAGAGAGAGAGAGAGAGGGAGAGAGGATGAGAGGGAGATGGGAAGATGGGGAAGGTTGGTTGGTAGTGGCAGAAGAAGGGAAGGAAGGTAGGGGATTGCGAGAGAATGTGATGAGATGGGGCAAATGTAAAATAGTGATGAAGCTTACAAGCTATTGTGCCATATAGTTAATCTTATAGAGAACATTGAACATGATTGGAGAAAAGAAAGAACTTGTTCATGCATGTAACAAGAGAAATTGACAGAATTATTCAGGAAGCCACGCAAATAATCCTTTCTCTTTTAATGGTGAATAATTATAGAGAGAGCATGTGTTAGAGGCATCTCTAACTATTCGTTAACTATACATATTGAAACATTCCTCTATGTCCTCTTGTTTTTCTTAATCAATTTAACAAACAGATCATCATACTCTTGAGTTGAAAACGCATGTTGTTGTTAGACTATCTCTTCTTTCCTTCTCCACCCTCTCTCATGCTCTCTCCCTCTATCTCTATCTCTCTATAGCTGATCTAACACGCATATGAGACGAATCAGATGATATTTCATCACATTTCTTCCTTAATAAGCTACTACTTCGTCAACCTCGTATTACGAGATTAAGCTTACATCCTCACTCTATACATGTGACACATGGTTTTAAGGACATTGAGCTTATGAGAAAGACACAACCGCTTAACAACTTCAATCACTGTGAAAATGAAATCGCATAGTGTTATGGTGGTGTGAGACATAAGGAGAAGACTATTGATTACTCAAATGACATATAAGTTCAAAGTTTATAAATTTGCATATTATAAGCTTCAACTAAACGTTTGATGAAAAATCAATAGAAGTGCCCTATAAGGACATCAACCCATAGTTAGAGAAGAGAAGAAAAGACTTAAAGATTTAAAGAAAATTGTCCATTTGAGTATTTTGTTCTCAAATATGTATTTAACTTAATAAAAGTATGGAAAGGAAAAGGTCGCAGTAAAGGTGAGACGGAGAGAGAGAGAGAGAGACTGCTCAACTGCTTTCTCATGATCCAGTTTCCATGGAAAAGCTATTGAGAAGAAGAAAAGGTTGGTTCGAAAAGACTGATCTCTTACAAATGAACATTCAGCTGTAATTAGAAAGAAGATAAAGACATCTAACTATATATGTATATACTATATATAATGCCATTAGCTATTCCATGAACTTTCATGGCGTGTGTGATGATTCAAACGAGTCACGTGAGATATCCTTTTAAGGCGAAAATCTTTCAGTTCAACTCAGATTCTTCAAAATCTCTTATATTTACTTTATATTTTTGTTCTACTGAAATCAATGTTTTGGCACGAAACAGAGAGAATCTCTCTCAAGGGCATAGATGGAGACTGAGACAGAGAGGGAGACAGAGAGCAAGAGAGATAACGTTTCGTAGATCGAGAGTGATTTTCATGTAAATGATGTTTAAAAGAGGGAAAATAGAAGGAGTCCCGCGTGAGAATAGTGATTGAGAGGGAAAGAGATCACGAGTAAAATGGGAAAGAAGAAAGGAATGACCCAGAGAAGTGAAAAGGAGAAGAAGAAGAAGAAGAAGAAGACGAAGCAGTAGAAGTAGTAAGTAACAGAGCAAGTAATACAGACACATAGAGAGATAGATAGAGAGAGAAAGAGAGAGAGAGAGAGAGAGTAGAGCAAGGGTGTTGGGGGGTGAACGGGAGTTGAAGGGAACATCAAAGTGAATTTCAACGAATATTCAAATCATTTATCAGCCAAATGAGTTGCCGTTCTTCATTTCTGAACAGAAAACTAAGAGAAATCGGTTGTTTTGGAAGAATTTAATGGAAAAGTCATATGAATCTCTGATGATTGTTAGTTACAATCCATTTTTCTCGAACAAAAAAGTAATGTGAAAGCAAAAAATCAAAATATTCTGAATAATTCAGATGAGAAACCTCTAGCCAACTATATGTTGATTGGCGTTTACGATAAGATCCTGAACGATTGGAGTGAAATAAAGGAAAGTTCAGACGATGCTTATGCCCTCAAGCATTTTGAACGAAAAAAAAAAGATTTTTCCGGTTAACTTAGGGGGGAAGGGTAGAAGGGGAGGCTGGGAGATTGTGCTATGGAGGAAGGAGGAGGGAGAGAGGAGAAGAGAAGAAGGAGAATGAAATTTTGAGGATTTTTCCTCATAAATGTCATAAGACGTGAGGAATGAACTTGTCCAAAAAAAGGATAAAGAGAAACATAGAGGGACACAGAGATACAGAGAGAGAGAATGAGGGAGAAGGAAAGAGGAAGAATGAGAGAGTTCATCTCTTAATGATGGACACATGCAGTTAATGAATAAACTTTTTTTTCTCTTTAAAAGAAAAAAAAAGAAAAGAAGAGGAAAGAAATGTTTTCACTCTTTCTCTCTCTCTCTCTTGCTATTGCTATGACACTGTGTGGATGTGGTTCTCTCCGGGTTAGAGCTAAGAAGAAGAGAACGAGGAATGAAATCTCATGTGAAGTAACGCTTACATGTATATTGGCTCATTGCGAGTAGTCAAGGCAGCCCAAATGGGATTTTGTTCTCAAATGAAACATTCACAAATTGTTTTTAATAATACAAAATGCCCAAAATGATCTTTTGTTTCGAAGGAATGTGTTACGTTCAGTTCTGATTGAAGGATACAACGTTATTCTCTTTACAACTGAGGCATTATGACTGAAATTGAATTTGAGCTTCATCTAAAAGCAGTCAGTAAGAAGCATGTAGTACATTTGGTAAAGCATTCATAGTGACAAGCTTTATTCCTAAGCTTACTAAGTCTTTCTCTCTCATTCTTCTTCATCGCTTAACTAACTATCTATCTTTCTCTTCCTCTCTTTCTCTTCCCCTCTCACTCTCTCTCTCTATCTCTCTCTCTTCTCACCCCTTATAAGGTAATAATGTGAATCATCATATTATTCTATAAAGAGTAAAATAAAAAACAAAAATTTCATCAGATGTGCTTTGGGGCACAGCGTTATGTACGTGTTTTAATAAATTAAAATTAGAATACGCGTGAATGACGCATCCTAAAGTTCACGTGAACTACGTCAAATTCATTTTCATTGTGTGAAAGACGTGTTAAACGGTTGTGCCATGGTCTTTGCTTTTTGGTTTATAACGGAAAGCAATGTTATTCCCTATTTCTCCCTCTCTCTCTCTCTTACATTCTCTCTCTCTATCTCTCTACCTCTCTCTCTTCCTCTCCAAAAAAAGTTACAGAGGGATGTAATCATTTAATAAGCTAATTACTGCTCTAATTAGATGCTAAATGATCACATAATGAAAACGACGGAGAAAAAAAAAGTTTTTTTCCTCTGTATTGTGAGGGACATGAAGGTCTGTGATGATGATGATGATGATGATGAAGAAGATGATGACGGGATGGAAACAGAAGACGACGAAAGAGAAGAAGAATAGAAGGGAGAAAGGGCTTATAGAATAATTGATAAGAGAGAAAAAATAAAAAACAATAATAAAAGAAATTTACCTCGAAGTTCTGTTGCGAAAGAGAAGATTTGAAGTTCTGGTGGAGCGTCGTCTGCCCAATTGAAGAGCAGGTACAATCGTCAATCCCATGTCTGGCTTTTCTCCAAAATATGTACTGAAATCATCCGAAATGAGGAGAGCTAAGCACAAAAAATGAAGCTTATGAGTAAAGTAATAGAAATTCATGAAAGATTACCAATAATTATGCGTATAATTAGTAGTAGTAGAAGAGAGAGAGAGAGAGAGGGAGAGAGAGGGAGAGAGAGAGGGATATTGATTACAAAGAGAGAAGGAGGAAGGAAAATTAAAAAAAAAAACAAAACAAAAATGAAACGACTATGAGAGAGAGAGGGTGAGGCAGAAGGGAAGAACTAATCCAGAGTGTTAAGTCTTAGAAAGGAAGTATACATCTCAATGATCAAATAATTGTATAAACATTCAAAAAGTTATTGGACACACAGCAAGTTCAAATAGAAGAAGATGATGCAGCAGCGGTAGGAGCAGAATAAGATGATGATGTGAATGAGAAAAGGAGAGATGAGAAGTCTCATTTGACTATCGCCCAAGATGTTTTTGTTAAGCGATAGATGAGGCCAATATCTTTCTGATGATATGAAAATTCATTGGCTAGCTACAACTCTTTCTGTGTGCGTGTGTGTGTGTGTGTGATGTGAATGAAATAAAAAAACATACAAAGAGAGGAACAGAGCTCAGAAAGAGAAAGAGAGAGAGAGAGATGGTGTGGAGGGATGGGATGGATGGATGGTGGGGAGGTTCTTGGTTGTCTCAATCTAATCTTTAAAGAGAAAATAAAATGGTTCATAAGAGGTATTTCATTAATTAAATTCGAGGAAGCGGAAAGAAAACAAAAGAAAAACAAGAAGAACGGCTTTCTTTTTGTAGAAAAAAAGAAGATTCGATGGATGGTGGCAGATGAGAAGACATAGAGAGAGAGAGATGAAAGAAGGAATACAAAAAGCTGAAAATGATGAAACAGAGGGTGAGGAAGAGAGAGAAGGAGACATCAAAGATGACAAAGGTATAAAGAGGAATACATTATATGAATTTCTTGGAAGCAGATGTTTAAAATATTATAAGAATGTAGTTCTTCAGAAACAGACACTTTGTATTATCATAGGTTTGTTGGTTGCAAGGGTTCGTTCATCGACCATCAAGAGGACCTGAGGGGAAGAAAGAGAAAGATCGCCTGATTGGTTGTAATAAGAGCCTTTATGCAGATTGCTTCTCTTCGATATACGATTGTTATTGATTTCATTAATTGAATGAAAACACAATTACATTTAAAGTTACTCTTTGAGTTGGCCCTCTCTATAGCCTTCCAACAATGCGTCTCTAGCCGACGTCATAAATAGAAATAGCTACTTTCTTGTTTTCTGCCCAAAGAATTGCTGGAGCAAAATGGCAGAACATAAATCGTCAAATCTTCAGATTGTCTCAAGGAAGAAAAAAAATTTCATTTTTTTCTCTTAGTCTTCTGACTTGTTTGGTGGACAACAAAGCTTTTCCATGTCGGCATTGTATGTAGCAAGGCTGAGAGATGGATGTTGCAAGGTGCAAGCAGCAATGAAACTTCATAAGTGAGCTTTTCGATCAAAATGAAGTTTCCCAACCAACCATGTTGTTGGTGAAACTTTCAAAACGATTTGATTAAAATATTTTTGTTATTTAGATGAAGAGAGAGAGAGAGAGAGAGAAAGAAGGAGGGAGAGAGTGAGAGAGGGGGAATGAGAGTACGAATGATGAAAGAGTGCAGAAAGAGGGAGAGAGAGAGAGAGAGAGGGGGGTAGAGAGAGAAAGATATTTTCGATAACGAGAATCATGCGATAAGAGAGGAAAAAGAAAAAATAGCTTACAAAATTTCGTTTTTTCAATGAGCATCGTACTTGGAAATGTTAAAATATAGATTGAGAAGAAGGTCTGATAAACAGCAGCAGATGGAGGCAAGGCCATTTCAGCTTATATGTACTGAGCGGCAGATATTTGAACGATTTCATTGAAAGATTTGAAGACATAATTAGAATATACAGCTCTATTATATCATATAGTTAGGCAAATTTTATGTGAACAATCGATATACGTCCAAGCAATGGAAGGATATGGATGGCTGGATGGATGGGTGGTGGATGGATGAAGTAAATGAAAAAGATATTTGAGAACAACCGTTTTTCAAGCACCAGCACGAGAAAGATGGTTCACACGACTCACGTGGAATCTCAAGTGAAATTGAAAATATGCAAATGAGTTCGGTTGAGCAGACAACATGTCTGACGGTCGAGAGAATAAGAAGTCGTGGAAAAAAGAAAAGAAAAGAAAGGAATGAGTGGAAAGGAGAAAAAAAAGAAAGAAAAAGCATGTAAGAGTAGGAGAAGTATTGGCAAGTTGCCTCCGCTCGGGCTTCCTTTTATGGAACGGATTGAGCATCTGTTTCATAAATTGCCGATAAACCAATCTTGTAAAGAAGCGATCTTTTAAGCTTATAATCATATTTAAAATAATTATAAACTAGGTTGCAGCGTTATTTTCAGAGAGAACAAAAGTATGAAAGAAGGACCACGAGGAGTTTATGAATGGATGAGGACGAGCACTACGTCGAAGGCATCAAAGAAGAAGAAGACCAAAAAGCTAAGAAATCAAAAAAGGACAAGCACTATTCAGACTGCAGATTAGATTCCTTCTTAGTCACGCGGAAAAACAAATAGAAAATCAAGAAACTAAAAACTTATGAAATACTTACTTATTGGGCGAAGGATTTGGTGAAGAGAGCTAACGACCGAGCAGCACTCCATCTTCTCTCCCCCCCCCCACCCTTCTTAACCACCGCCCGTAATTACAATAATTTGGACATTTCAATAACACGATTGGACATTTTCATAATAAATACTCGAATTAATGGAATTACTTGAAAGCTCAAACGCAGCAGCACTGTGTACGAGGAGAAACGACAAAAAACGGATTTGAATATGAGAGAAGGGAGATTCAATCAAACAAGTTGTGCATATCTTGTGCGTTCAACTGAAAAGCAGGAAGAGGTCAGAAGAATGGGAAAAATTAAGTCGGAACAACACAATGTTGTTGTCTGTAACTTCAACAACTCTTTAATAACAAGTACAAGTAGGGAAGTAAGGAGCAGTGGCCGTCTTAGCCACCGGCAGTTTAGCATATCCCCTGCGGCATTTGAGGCAACAACTCAACTTCTGAGCTTCCTTATAAAAATCTGTTTCACTAACTTATAACAGAATATATAATGTATCTGCATATCAATTTGTAAGCATGAATATGTGTATACATGTAGATGAAGAGAGAGGAAAAGAAAACAAGCTGTGAGAAGAAGCCATGATCAAGGAGATGAGTGGAGCTGCCCATACTTGTGAATGTCAGAATGAATAATGTTCCAGAAAATTGCTTTTTCAAGTTTTTAACATCAATTTTCTTTTAATATTAATTCATTTCATACATATAAATGCTGATGACAAGTTATTAAAGACGCAGAACTTTCCGTTTTTGTTTGAAATTCAAATTATAGAACCCTCACTCACTCTATGTGTGTGTAGTATGTGTGTGTTGGTTGAACACGAGGCATGAACAGCTTACAGACATAACTTGGCAGTCTTTCCTCTTTGGTCCCATGTTCCAATGGCCACAAACACACATAAATCAACTGTTAACACATTTTACATGAGAAATCAAATTACAAAGACATGGAATTGCAAATTTCATGTTTTTTCTTATTCTTTTTGAAATCTCAATCTGACTTTACTGTTTGATCTTCCTACAATCAGACCAGCCAACAGCTAGCTTTCGGTCAAGAGATGATAGTAGTTCAGTGAGCTACAACTAGGTGGCAACAGATGATTCAGATGGCATGCGAAATTGGTATAAAAATTAAGAAAGAAGGGATTATGGAAGAGAGAAAAGAACAGAGAGAGAAGAAGAGAGAGAGTGTGTGAGATTATCTTGACATTTCAATACTCGCAAGTCCACAATAAACTCCAAAAAAGGAGATTTTCCATTAGGGGGGAAACATCAATTATTAATGGATGATGAATGAATGAGCTGGTGACATAATAATTGTCTGAATCAGTTACCAATTTCCCAAATATCTTCTTGAAAAGGAAACAGAAAAGGCAATTCTATTGTTTGTGGTTGTACGACGACCGAGGGAAAGAGCAGGCAAGGTAGGCAGACTGATGTTGAAGAAGCAGAAGATGATGAAGAAACATGAGTAATGCGACATGTTCAATGAACTTCATCGTGTGTGGGATAGATGAGATCATATCAGAGTTCACTATGATTATCATAAATATGTTTTTTCGAAAAAGAAATGAGTAGAAGAGAGATTGAAAGCCATCCAGAAGCATAGCAAACAGCTTTTATAGAGCCGATGACAACATAAAGTACAGTGTATAGGATGTATACAATCTGTGTTGGTAATGCAATTTCAATGAATATCATTAAGAGAAAGGGTAAGCAGAGAGATATAGAGGGATGAAGAGGGAGAAGGAGAGATTGAGAAGATGTCATTCTCTTAATTTCTGATTGAAGAAATCGCATGAATGTAATTTAGCTGGCAACATACAAGTGCAACATCAGTAAAAAGGAAAAAGGTAAGATGACACATCAGATGTCATTCGATAAGCTTTTCTAGCTCTCCAGTTTCAATGCTCTTGTTTTTCCACACACATGAGCCACACAATACAAAATGTTTCTCGTTTTTTCTGAAGTACACACATTCCCATTTTATTGGTAATTTTACCTTTGCCATCAACTACTTGGGCATTGGAATAATCAAATTAGCAATGATGCGTATGTGTGTATACTCACACGTGAAGCCATGTGAACAGGAAAAATCATTTTTGAGCAAAAAAAAAAAAGAAAGCGGTTGCATTCGCAAGTCTTATCAGGATAGGATGCTTTCACCAGCACACACGACAGAGTGTATTGGATAAGCTGGCTACTAACTTCTGTGAATTGAACTATCTCATTGTGTTACACTACGATAGCTCTGATTCGATCTATCCAGAAGTTTTCGATAAACGTCGGTGTTTGTTTGAGAGTCTTTTAAAATGTTCAATTTAATGACTTACAGATTGTTCACCAGAATGTCCTTCAAGCAGTATTTGGGGTTGATCCTCTCATGCTATTGCTTCTGAGAAAACAGCTCGTATGACTGAAAAAAATATTTTGAATAAATTCAATTGTTGAGCAGAAAAAACTGTTTATTCCTGGGCTTGCATAACTTGCAGTTCAAAGAAATATTACCTTGCAAACACCAAAAAGAAATGCGAACAGATGTATCGAAGATTGTGCTTCCCAAACAGATGAAGGGGCTCTGTCGCTTTATTTTTGATTGTCGCCAACTTATTCAGACAACTTCTTTCAATGAATCTGCACTCTTACGACTGAAATGAGAATGGAAATGAAAAATAGAAATTTTTATTAACAGGAAATTTACCTATTTCCTCTCTCAACTTCCGTTGGATCATCATGTTGCGAGGAAGGGCACGACAGAACTTCTGGATGAATCTGAACAACAACAAACTTACTCAAAACCAAAACAACACTTTCACATACCTGGAAGGCGGAAATAATTAAAACTTGAGGCAATAAGACTTTAAGCTGAAGATTGAGAGATAGCTCGGCAACATCTAATGTAGTCAGTTGATCTTCTCCACAACTGACTGATAGCTCCCCCATTTTACCATAGACGACAAAGTATTGCAGGGTCATCTGAGAAGGAGACAGCTTGAACGCCATGTAGAAGAGTTCCTTACTTTCTCTAACAAAGCTCTGACACACTCCACGTATGCTTTCGATCTCGCTTCTCTGTTTCCTAGAGGATGATGACTTGATAATAACTCAATCAGCTAGAACATAGATGATCAGTTGTAAAACGAAAATAGATTGAACTTCTTGTCCCCTTTCCAATTTGTCTTTCACTAGTTGAATGACATCTGATGTATTGGAAGCAGATATTGAGCAATTCTCTATTCTAAATGAAAACATTGCAACACTTCCGTATTATCGGGAAGTTCGACCTATTCCGTGTAGCTCTTGATGTTTTCCTCGTCATCATAACTTTCAGTCCATACACTGGCGAACTTTGTGTTCCTGGACTTGCAATGACCAGAACCTGAATTGCTCCGTCAGACACGAAGTTCATCAAGTTCAAACTTCGTTTTTGTATCCTCTGTAAATCATATCTTCAGTCTCTTCTAGTTCCTTCCGGAATTCTTTCTCATATTTGCTATTCAAGCGATCTTCCCTCCCATAGAAGTTCTGAAAACCAGTGTGTACAATGGAGAGAAGGGAGATGTACTCTAAACACCTTGTATCTATCAATTTCCCTAGAAATATAGCAGATTATAACACAAAAACCTATTATAATAGCTATTGCTATAGCTGTGACCAAAGGTAGCCAAGCTGGAAGAGCTAAGCTCACCAAACATGTCATCAACAAAGGAGAACGACCAGTTTATGAAATGGTGCGCGGGAAATGAAAAAATGTTTATTTTGTCAATCGTGGTACAAATGCAAGTAAAAATTAATTTGTAAGATGGTAAAACTGAGCCGAGACATTGGAAATGGAAGGTTAGTATCCCGTAAGTGTAATTGACCGGTAATCATTTCAAATTTTGAAAAAAAAAACACATCAAGGGTAGTAGAAATCGCCTGAGATTAATTATTGGATATTAGAATGTATGTACAGTTTTAGAATTCTGACTAGCGAAAGGAATGTAAGATATCCATACTGTAGGAGTGAATAAAGCAACTTATTATAAATCTGGGAATCGGGTTGAGTCTTCTCTGTAAGATGCTGGCACATAGAAGAGTTTATCAGAGATGTCGTCGAGGAATACAAGCTTCTGGAACGTGACCTTAGCGGATATAGTAGGGAGTAATGGAATTTCTAAAATGATGATTGGATCCATTGCCAAGATACTTTGAACTTACCAACTCTTACAGGGAAGCCAGAAGGAAGACGAGCTTTACAAAATCTTCTCAACTTATCCAAATGTTTGAATGGGGCCACAATTTCAAGAATATCAATCAGTACATCAACGCCCAATGGAAATTCTTCGCTCTAAAATGAAAAAGTTTGAGAATCGCATCACACATCGCTAACTAACCATTCCAATTAGGGCTTTAAAGTGTTTTTCATTCTGTTTTACAATCTGTTCTCTTCCTAAAGGTAAGTGGAGACCTGGCGCAGCCCCGCTGTATTCTTCCCATGTGGTAGGCATACGGCCAGGTGGAGGCAAAGATTGGCGATGTCGTAAACTCTGGAAAATGAATGCATCAGAAAATCAGTGGGAAATTTAAAAAAGAAACCTTGAAATCATCTTCAGGCACAGACCCTCCAATGGCAAAGGATTGCATGAAAGACTTGTTCTTCTTGATATCTTCATTGGTGAGATGTTCACGACGTTTACGGGTTATAAGGTTCAATCCTTCAACAACATAGAAGTTGACAGAAAAATCACCAATCTTTTCCTGAGAACAGATTATATCATAAGTCAAACAGACAGCTCAACTTACTTCACGAGCATGTTTGAAAACCCATCCAGAATAGGCTTGTTCGAATTGAATAGTCTTAGTGGACATTTGTGCGGAGACGATATCAGAAGACATGAGCACATCAACCTTGAATAAAAAGAATGAGAAAGTAGGAAAACGATTAACTGACCTCTTCATCAATCTCTAATTCAGACTCTTCGGTGCGGAAACGTTGGAAAACCTAGGATACAGAGAGTAATAAGGAGTTCTGATATCAAGAACTCACTTTGGCTTTGTTGTCCATAATGATGAGCTGATCTTTCGTATCAACTGTTGCATTGAAGACAAAAGAGATATCTCCTCTTTCCCACGATTTCTCACTGAAAAATGAAAAGAATGAAGAGGGTGAGAGAGAGATAGCGACTCAACCTGAAGTCAGCTAGAGTTGTATCCATACGAAGCATAGTCCCCTTCTTGTAAATCTGACATATATCAGATGGAAGCATTCGAGATAGAAGAGGAACTGAAGAGTTCAAATGAAGTTTTGATTGGAAGGATTGAACTCACTCCAACTATGGAAATCCCACTTTAATTCAAGATAGAAGTCTCCGAGATTTTGAAGAATTTGTATCAAATGAGGTTTCCGATCTGTCATCCCTTCCCGAGCTTGACTTTTCAACTTTCTCAGCATTTCCGTGACTAAATAAGGAGATGACCAAACGCGATACTGAGAGGAAACCTACTGATTTGTCTATCTCCATAGCTAACGGCTTCCATTAAAGGATTCCATCCGTCACAATTTTTAATTTTGATTGGAGCATTATGAGAGAGAAGTAAAGCTGTCGTCTCTGCAATTCACGGAATGAAAGTAAAAAAGAAAAATGTTTGCGCGTGTCTGTTCATTTTCATTTTCACCTAATTCGATTGTGATGATGAAGAAGAAGAAGAGAGAAACAAGAATAACTTTGTATAAGAGGTAAACATAACAAACCTCTATGCCCGAGCATGGTCGAAATATGAAGAGCTGTGTTGCCATGCATGTCCTGCTCATATAAGCTTTGACCTGAACGTGGTTCGTTGCATAATTTATGCGAAAAAGTGCAAAAGGGATTACCTTTTTTGATGAGCTCTTTGATAGATCGAACATCATTGAAGAAGGCCGCCTTGTGCAACGGATAACTTTCATGCTCACCCATCTTCTGGAAATGAAAACTTGAAAATAAAATAAGCGAATTATCAAGGCAAAGACGACAAAAGACATGGACGGTAAGTCAATATTTGCTCAGTCGGATGCGAAAGCAGATATAAAAAAGTTAAAAAAGGGGGAGAGAAGTACGAAAAAGGAGAAAAAAAACGTTGCAATCAGTGCGAGTTATTGAAAAGGGGCGGAAAGTGATAGTTGATTTCATTACGCTCTTCACTTTAATCAATGATCGTGGGGTGTGAGAGAGAGAGGTGAAGAGGGGATGTAGGGGGTGGGGGGGAAGTGTGGGAAGAAGGGAGAGTTGAGAGGGTTTGGCTATACCTAAAAGTGAGAGAAAACCCCATCAATTATACGTAAAAACATTGCATACTAGAAAATGATAACAAGTTGGAGAAGGGCGAGAAGATGTTGGTTTTGAATATCATTTTGATGAATTACTGACTCGCTTGGCTGACTTTCAAATCTTCAAACGCCTCATATTCAAAAATAACATGTTTTCAAATGAACTAAATATGACAAATAATGACAGAACTCTTTGTGTGAGGGAAAAGGAGCAGTGACAAGACGAATTCACATAGACTGATCAGTCCAAATAAAAACCTCCCAGAAAACAGCAGCAAAACAATCAGGGGAGGGATAAACTTATAAACAACAAAATTTCGAACGGAACAGCAAAAAGTCCTCGACACAACTTGAATATTAGCTACATTCCATTGAGAATGACACAAGAACGAAAGAAAGCCGGTAGAAAAGAATGCTTGTCCAATTTCGCGCCTTCAATTTTGAGGGCACATTATATTGATTCGGGCTGACTCGCAATCATGGCTTCAACTAGCCTCGGCTACTCCTCATTAGACATCCGCTCCAGCTATTCTAAATTCCAACAAAAAAAAGAAAAAGCAAAGAAAGAGCGATTTGAGCTGCGAAAAAGAATCGAACCAAAAAACATTCACGTGTCTATACATGGGAGGGAGAAAAAAACAACCTGGAGGTCTTTTCGCTTCACTCCGGCACTGATTTGTGTAAGAGAGAGAGGAAAGGAAAAGTAGTAAGAGTGTGAGGATGGAAGTCTCAATTGTTTCGAAGAACGAAACAACCAACAAGAAAGGAAACGAGAAGGTAAAACAACCTTGGAATGGAGATGTCACAGGCATTCATGTTGTGAGACATCAGTTTTAACACTAATTAAGAAATTGAAACCTCAAGTGAAAACGAAGAGATATCACTTCCCAAAAAGGAGAATAACTGTTATTCGTACGTATATGTAACCTCTGTTACAACTATATAACCAGTTCACAAGCAGATGACCATCGGATGCTTCAAACGATTTCCCCCCCAAAACAAATGGATGACAAATTGAAGCAGAGTCAACTTTTTCTTTTTTTCTTCTAAAAAATGTCTCTCACATAAACTTTAACCGTGCTGAATAACAAATACTCTTCTACCAACCAGAATATAACGTCGCTCTGAACACAACCGATTCCAGCACATGAGCATTTCCAAAAATGGTTACGTGCTTAAGGAAACGCTTCCTGCGGCATTTCATGCGTACCGTAGTCGAAAAAGGAATGCCATGATGGAACATGTGTTTGACTTAAACGCGGAAGCTTCCGATTGATGTGAAACAACACACGAGCACATGAGAGTCCCGTGGAATAAGGAACATTTTAATTTCATGTACTTCTCGAAATATACCTGACCTCCAATCAATATGAATGATATACATCGCCCTTGACCGGCTTGCAGTCTTCAAGAATTAGACTTCTAGTTCATCAACTAACACTGTAAAGTAGTCAGTTCTTTTTTTTTTAACCATGTATTACTCTATATCATATATTCCTGAAAATCAAAATGCTTTCTCATCCACTTACCTCAGCATTACACACAGCCTTGTACTTTTATTTTCATTTGATACAGAGAGAGTGTGTTGTCTCTGAAGATTTGTGATGATTGATATTTAGAATTGTATAGTTAAAGGCATTCATTCGTTTCAATCATAGTTTGGCTGTGACTGCAAAAAACTAGTTCGCACTTTCTCATAATTCATTAAGCACGTTTTGATCTATTTCACTTCATGAACCATATATATTCTCACAAACCACATTTCTTGCGATGAGACACACACACACACCATGGGTATGAGCATCTATTCATTCAGATAATCAAGCAACATGGCTCATATTCCGAAGAATGTCATGATTACTGGAGGTTGTGGCTTTATTGGCTCGAACTTCGTCAACTACATCCACGATGCTTGGCCGACATGCAACTTTGTGAATGTGGACAAGCTCATCTTGAACAGTGACACATACAATGTAACGAAAGAAGTAAACATAAGCTTCATCAATACGAAAAATTAATTTTCCTCATTAGGTTAGAGAATCTCCAAGATATAAGCTTGTAATAGCTGACATCAAGAATAGTCAAGCAATAATGAACGCACTCAAGGAAAACGAGGTAATTTGAAATCTTGAAAATCGAGAACGAATATGAGAGCCAGGGAGAGAAGGGGACGTGGGAAATGAGCATTTCTTGATCTCCTATATAATAATTGTGTTTGATCTACTGCTTCATTGAAAGAATGAAATAATAGATTGATTTCGTTACTACCTTTCTGATAAGCGAGAGACAACACCCTCTCTGACTATCAAAGACAACAACCGCTCTACATGATCGCACAAACAAAAATGAAAATTTCCCACGACTCTTCTACTGGCTACATTAACTCCATCAGATGAATAGAAAAGGGCGGGAAAGCGGACAATTCTATCATTTTCAGATTGACAGTGTCATTCATTTTGCTGCCGACTGCACAAGTACAAGATGTTACAATGAAACGATTGAAGCTATTGAAAACAATGTGGTCTCGTTTATTGCGTTTCTCGAAACGATTCATAAGTATGGAGGAGTTAAGCGCTTTCTTCACATCAGTACTGATGAGGCAAGCTTACATCTCATTTGCAAATAAGAGAAGAGTGAATGACAATTGATGAAAATGCATTTAGGGTATTTGAATATTCTCATAATTTTCATTTTAAAGTATGATGTGAAAGAATAATTTGAGAGTTACTTCCTGTTGATGAGGATAGCAAGGGAGAGAGAGAGAGGGGGGATGGAGAGAGAAAGACAGGGAGTTATCGATAGAAGTTTTGAATTGAGATGACTCACAACTAAGATATCGAAATGTCTTTCGTAACAGATGCAAGAATCAAAAATGAATTTTACTGTCTGAGCATCAGTAGGTCATAAATCGTCTTCGAATGTGAGGGATTCATATAAAATATACATTTCTGCTCAATTTATTCGAAAAGAGAGAGTAATGAAATTTGCAATTCTCTGATTGTGTGTGTGAAATTGAATAAGAAAGTATAATCAGGGGCTTTCTGACATTCTCTAATGTGGGAACCATATCTTAGGTATATGGAGACTCTGGACTTGGTGCTGATGAGGAAGGAAAGACCGAGCATTCACAACTTCTTCCAGGAAACCCTTATGCCGCCACTAAGGTTTCCATATATTGTTTATATTTCTATTTAAGTTTTGCCACTTTTAGATTGCTGGTGAAGCCTACGTGAATGCGTTCAGAAACGAGCTTGGATTGCCTATTGTGACAGCTCGTATGAACAACATCTATGGACCTAACCAGTGGGATATTAAGGTGAGAGTGGAACAAGAGTTAATTCATCATCAATGATACTAAGGTCGTTCCAAGATTCATTGAGATTGCTAAAGTACGAGGAAACTATACGATTCAGGGAACAGGACAGCAACTAAGGTACTTGCTAAATGACACAAGTAGTGAAGTAATTGAATTTCGTATAGATCTTGGCTTTTCGTTGATGATGCTAGTGAAGGCATATCAGCCGTGTTTCTTAAAGGCAAACTGGGAGAAACTTATAATCTTGGAACATATTATGAGAAAAATGGTGTGTTAGATCATGAATTATGCTGAATGTGAAAGTAATTTCAGTTGCTGACTTGGCTAGATTCATACAACAGGAAGTTGACAGACAATTGGGTAGAGAACCGGTAGAGCCTAAATATGTTTCAATTCCCGATAGGTGAGTAAGCGACAACATAAGATGTTAACGAACAAAAATATCTTTTCAATTCAGACCTTATAACGATTTGCGCTATTTCATCGATATAAGTAAAGCTGAGAAAGAGCTGGGGTGGAAGCCAAAAACTTCATTTGAAGAAGGTAAACCTTACAAGCATGTTGTTGATATAGCAAGCAAAGTACTTTCATTTTGCTATTTTTTTGTGAATTTGCCAATAATGACTTTTTGAAACAAGAAAAACACAACCGCACATGCGAAAGCTCAATATGCAAATGATTGGTAGTAAGCCGTGGAGAACACGTGTATCATCACGTAATATGCTAATTATGCGCGAAACAAACAAATTGAATGAAAAAATAACTAATTTAAGGAATGAGTCGTACAGTGGCAGAGGCTTTGCGGCCCAAAGAGAATGTACGAATGCATGTTGCTATATATGGAAAAGGATATGTTGGGCAAGCTTTCCAGCAAGTCTGTTCAGAAATTTTAATGAGATGTTTGAGCATAATGCTATTTAGGCATTGGAGACCAAGAAAATTCCACATACTTTTGCAATGTGTAAAGTTGGAACAAGTTCGGACCAGGAGGTAAGAAGATAGAAAGATCATGGACTGAAAGAGAATTCCATTTAAGGTTGAAGATGAATTAGTTAAATTGAATGTCTCACATGTCGTTTGTGTGACTGGGCGCACTCATGGGCCGGGCTGTAACACAATCGAATATCTAGAAGGCGGGCCTGACAGAGTTTTCGAAAACGTCAGAGACAACATGTACAGGTTATAGAAAAGCTTTGAAATAGTTTTACATATCGATTATATTGTAGTGCGACTGCTTTAGCCCACATTTGTCGCAAACTAGGAATCCATTACACATATGTAGGCACAGGCTATATCTTTGCTTATGACAAAGAACATCCAATAGGAGGCAAACCTTTTGCTGATAATGGTTTTGTTTACTTGCATCAGGAACAAACAACTATTCTCAATTTATAGATATTCCAACTTTCTTCGGAAGTTCCTATTCTGTTGTGAAGGGAGGGACTGATAGACAAATGAAATTTTTCAATCAGAAAGGATGGGAAAGTATCAACGCACGAATCACCCTACCCCTCACATACGACTTGGATCAACCACGCAACCTCTTATCCAAAATAATCAAATACAAGTATGGTACAACTCACACACTGAGCCTGATATATGAACTTGCAGAGAACTCTTTGACATACCGGTATCGATTTCAATCCTTCCTGATTGCTTCGAGGCTCTGGTACGGTCTTCATTGTCACCAATTATACAATCCTGATCTTTCAGATTTCTCTGATGGAAAGACGATTCGGAGGTAATCTGAACTTGGTCAACCCTGGACCAATCAGTCTTTACGAGATTGTAAAGATCTATAAAGAAGTTTGATTATACTAATGTTCAAGTTCATTACCTTACTTTAACAGGTTGTTGACTCGTCTGTGGATCCTATCGGTATTGGAGCGGACACAGAGAAAGGAAGACAGCTCTTAGCTACAAAGGGGAACTGTGCACTAGATACTACTCTGATCAAGAACCTTACGGCAATACCTTTGGCATCGGAGAGTATTCGTTCCAATTTCGCAATTCTAGCCAAATCGAAGTAATTTAATATGTAATAATTATGAATATTACAAATCCGAATAAATATATTGATGATGATGATGGTAGTTGCAAGTAGATCCTTCAATCGATACCCTCGGCGATTCCACGATTCAGATAAGGAGAGGTAGTACTTGAAATTCGTCTCTCATCCACTAATGAAATCAAAGTTCTTCTATTTGTGTGTTTGCTACTGTTTACTCTGTTTTGCATGTAAAACAGTTTTTTGTCGTAAAGCTAGAATATTCTGTTTAATCCATACAGCCACACCAAGCCATGATACAAGGGTGAGCTTAGTTTCCTATAGTCCTGACTGACATCTAACGTTCCTTCGCAGGCTAAAACGGTTTATGAAACATGGGCTCAGCAGTGTGATGATTTCGTCTTCTTCACCAACTCTCCAATGGATTCCAACATCCCACATGTAGTGTATCCTAATCTATTCACAAGAGATCATTCTTGGGAAAAAATTCGAAGAATATTCAAGTAAGTTCATGTTCAATGAGACATAGTTCTTAATCTTCCTAGCTATGTCGCTGAAACAAAAATCGATCAGAATGATTGGTTCATCAGAGCTGATGACGATGCCTATGTGCTGGTTGAAAACGCCAGAGCATTCCTCAGCAACTATTCCAGTTCGGATAATCACTTTTTCGGATTAAAGTGGTCCTTTTTCGTTGTAAAACTTTTGAGTAACTAAATCGACCAGAAAACACTCTTGCAGTCTCATGGCTTTGCCGATGGAAGTTGTTACATCTTATCAAGGGCTGCCCTGGGCGAGTTCAACAAAGTAATGAAGGATCCTGCTAAATGTCCCGACCATCACAGAGCAGAAGAAGATCAAGAGGTTTTTTGAATCTTCTTCTTCTCTTGAACAGAATTCTGTTATCAGATAGCCAGATGTCTTGCTCATGCTGGAATATATCCTGAAGATAGTAGGGACGAAGTTGGAGCTGACAGGTTCGTGCACTCGCATTGATTGGCAAACGCTTTACAGGTTCCAACATTTCCACCCGCTGGAGCAACTGGTGATGTATCAGGATTCATTTGCTCAGAAGTATTCTTACTATCCTATACGAGAGGTAAGGTTAGCTTCAAGAATCTGATAGCAATGGCAAATATTACAGGGTGAGGATAACTTCAGTAGTCAAATGATCAGCTTCCATCATGTATCCCCCTATGAAATGCGTTTCATACACTTCTTAATGAACGATCTGAATCTCAGCCCCGTATAGGTGGTACATGTGCTTAGTCCGAGCTTTCAATGGGTAGATAAAAATAAATAGTTTGAATTAACAAATCGAGTTCATCTACAAGCTTCTAATCGCACTCTTGCTCAACCTGAGTCATGATTGACAATCAGAGAGAGAAAGAGAGAGACAACTGAGAAAGCTATGAGAGAGAGAGAAAGAGAGATAGGAGAAGAAAGACTTCATTACTTGTGTTGAACACAATAAGTGAGAACTTATACGTACATACAATATAATACATGGGGGGTCGTTTAATTGAGAAATTAATAAGGGAATTACATTAATAAAGGTGAGAATACACGTCAAAGAGGTCCGTTTGAATATATTCAGAGAACATTCCCATCTAGCGGTTAAACCAAATGTAAGAAGAAGTCGCGAACTCCATCCCAGACTGTTGGGCGGGGCATCTTGTGGCTGAAGTAAACTTGTCCTTTCCTCACAACCTTATACAGAGCAATTGGTTTCTCTCCGAGAACATGCAAAGTCTCTCCCAAAATGAAAGGTGTTGCTGGCTAAATGGCATGTTCAATAAGTTAAATTATCAGTTAGGAACTCACATTTTCATTTTGGACAGGCATCATACGAACTTCGTCAATCACATGTCCTTCAACAGAGCTTCTGTATGAAAGTCGGAGTGAGAACTGGTTGGATGGAACGTTGATCATAGTACCATTTCCCAAAACATCAGCTTCCTGAAAGAGATGACAAGTCAGACTATCTCGGACAGTTTGAACTAACCTTCATCTTGGTAGCGACGATTTGACCTGTTCCGAACTGTCTGGCCAAATAGAAGGCATCCATGTTGGACTTGACTCCCATGAGTTGACAACCGTCCAATGAAGTAGTGTTGCACTTGGTTGGGATGGTAGTGAAACAATAGATATAGGTTCCGAACTTAATAAGAAAATAATAGCTTGATATAGAGATTGTCAGAACTTACGATAACTTTGCATTTGCTGACATCTACAGCAGCCACACGGTCCTTATCGATGATCACGTACTTGGGAACATCATAGTACACATAGGCTTCTTCGTGGTTAACAAACATTCCAGAGTGAGCAATCTGGAATAGTAAAATGCTTTTTGTCTCAAAACCAGAAATCTTACAGCATAGATGTTACCGCTCATTGAAGGATTATTAACTTTGGTGCAGACCTTAGTCTCCAGAGAAAGCTCGGTCAAGTTGCACCTTAAGATGATAGTAAGCAAAACATCCAATTATATATTGACTTACATATTTGGGAAGATAGTAGTCATCTGAGCGAATTCTTCTTTGCTTGGAAGTTGGAACAGACGTAGCTCAGGCTGTAAGAAGAAGTTGATTGAGCTCATAACTGTGTACAAGTTGATACCTCGTTGACGAGGAAGAGGAAAGGTGTGTTTATCTTGTGTTCCAAGAAAAGTGATTTCAAGTCTCTTTCGAACTTCAAAACATTCCATGCAAGTTCGAAACGATCCATGAAACGCAGAGAAAGTCTATAAATGAAGTGTTTTTCAATGTTTACGAGATGAAACTCACTGCTCATCAGATGGGGTCATTTCAGACAGCTGGGTAACATCAGTCTCGATTTGGAATGTTTGACAAATCTTAGCGAAAGATTCAAACAGTCTTCTCTTTAAGATGGCTCTGAAAACAAATTGAAGTATTATAGATGTAAAGAGAAAACACAATACCTGCCATACTCGGTCATTTCCTTGGTGTTGAACATATCGACATAGGCAAAGATATTCATAGTCCATGGTCTGCACTGTTCGTCTCCTTGAATTAATCTGAAATGATATGATGAGGGTAAAGCGTTCAATTTCAATTTCATCATTACCTTCCTTGTCCATACAAATCATATACAATTCCATTTTGACGAAAATGTTCTAATGGTGTGGCAGCCACTAGAGGAAACAATAAGAAGAGCAGTCTCATACCTCAAACGGAAATAATAAATTTCGAAAAAAATAATATAGAAAAGAGTATTTGATGGACAAGAAGACAGTGATAGTGAGACACACAATACATTTCTACAAATCTTTCGAAATGGAAGTGATCCCAACAAGGAAATACACTTTGCTCGTACTACGGTAATCAATAATGCACACATCTAGAGTACGGTCTACATGGTCCTTGCTCAGATAGATTCGTTCAAAACTACCAAAAGTTCAAAATAATAAGATAATACTACAATATAAAAGAATTTTTGAGAAGAGTTCAAGACGCTTACAGGCTTATGGAATGGCAAATGCCGATGAAGAGCATCAAATGACGCACTAGGTCATCACCAAAATAGGGAGGAGCACAAGGAGGTGGAGCCATGGGTCAACTGTAAAAGGAAACTCAAAAGGAAATCGTCTTCATTGCGTCATCACTTCGCCAGATGCTGTTGAATGACGTCACACTTATTCCAATAATGACATCTGATGCTGAGAATTGAATAAGAAACTGCTTATACAACAGTCTCTTACAGGTTAATGGCTCTCATATATTCCACTACAGACTAACAATCGATCGATAGTGTTGTAGAGCAAGTGGATCAATTAGTTCACATTCCACTTCCTTATAAAGAAATATCATGTTGGTTGGTAACATTTGTTGAAACAATTCAATATTAATGAAGGTAAAGGTCCCCTTGGCGAGAAATTCTGAAGGTTGTTGCTGATGGGTGATGATGTTATGTCATTTGCATCCAGAACTGTTATTTACCAAATGAGAGTCTTCGCATGAATGATCCTCGGCACTTTCTAATGTGATAGAGGAAAGAAGAAACATTAACAACACACACAGCGATGCGAATGTATTGGAAGAGGTTAAGATGGTGATGAAAACGAAAAATTGCTTAAGTGGAGGTATCTGTGATGAAGTAATTCATGATAATCATGATTCTAATTGTAGTTTCCAAACCATTATCAACTTGACTCCGATGGAATTGTAAGAGAGAGAGAGAGAGAGGCAGAGAGAGAGAGAAGGAAAGAATTCTATTATTCATTACCTTGTTACCTATTTCTGTCTGACAAGAATCAGAATGAGGTTCATAGTCAGACAGAGACGCGAGGGGAGGAGGAGGAGGAAAAGCATGAAGAGAATGAGAAAGTATAAAGAGTAAATCTAAAAAAGGAAATGAATCTATTTTTTTTCGATTCAGTCTATGTTCTCATGTAGGAGAAATGGATGACAATGCATCCAACTTGTATATTATCATATCTCATACTCTAAGCATCTTCGCCTTACTATGCTTAATCATAATAACGACCTGCATTCTCAGCTTTCCCATAAAGGGTATGAGGAAGTACTATCGTAATCTTCTCATCATTTATAACTTCACGTTAGTACTTGTCATCTATTCGTGTCAGTAATCTGAGTTCAGATCGCTTCTCGGAGCAGTTTATGTATCTAGTGGTGCTCTTCCAACTTTCTTATTACCTTGTGCAGCTTACTACTTCAATGGCTATCTCAAATCTATAGGAGTGTCTCCCTTTACTCAATTAATTCTATTAGCTTTAACAATTATGGGTAAGCTCTATGCCTCTTCTGCATGACTTGATCTATCACTATCATACAGACACAGCTTCTATTCTTCTCATTATACTGGTTGCTAGAGCGTTAGTGGTTTTGAATATCAAGGATAAATACAAATCTGTTGTCCTGAAAGGAGTTGTTATCCATGCATTCATATACAACTGTGTAGGAGTTATCATAGCTGAAACATGCTTCAGTCTTGAGGGTGATAAAACCAAGAAGTGTGTCGAAGTACAAGCCTATCATTATCCTCGGGTATACGGTCCGGTTTTTTCAGGCATTGGACTTACCCGAGAAAGCTGATGCCCTAGCCGAGGAGACTTTCCTATGTCTTGATGTGAAAGGCTCTTATCATACTGTCATCATAATCATTTTCTCTGTATGGATCATAGCATCTCAAGGAGCGTTCGCCGTTATCCTTCTGAGTAAAATGATTCTTCGAACGCTACTTCCTAATGCCTTCAACCTATCTGCTCGAACTGTTGAGACCCAACGCCAGATTACGCTTATGACAATTAGTGTTGTGAGTCTCTTGCATCTGAATTCTAACAACATCATCTGCTTTCATTGCAGTTTATCATTCAAGCCACGTTCTTTGTTATCCCAGGTACCATACTTGTTGCCTCATTAGTGTTTGGCCTAGCTTTACCACCTGGTATGCCACTGTTTTTGAGCATATTGTATTTCAGAAATATAAATTTTAGTTTTCAGCGATATTGCTTTCACAAGTCTGACTGCAGCTCTTATCACTGGTCCAGTAACTCTCCTGCTTGCAACTCGAAAATATCGAATTGGGATAAAGAAAGTTCTAACATACTCTTCCTATATGACTTGATAGAATAAATATATCCATAGAAGATGTTTCATATATTCAATCACATCAGTTGAATCTGTTGTTTTCCTATTCGTTCCCCCGACTTTACCAGCCGTCTCTCCCTCCTTCATCCGTATACGTCCATGCGCTGATGAGAGAGGTGAGGTCACATATACTGAACGTAAGAAGATATTTTGTTCCGAATGATTATTAAGCTAAAAGGTCTCATTAGCTTAAACCATAAGGTTAAGACGATAATTATCAGTTTGTGACGTGCCGCTTGGTAGTCTGTCGTCGAAGCTTGCATCTATGAATGATCCTCATAGCTTTGAACCTTCATTTTTGTCTTCCATTTTGTGTTTTATTAAGAGAGAGAAGAAGAGGAGGAGGACGTTGCAATAAAATGGAAACAGCTAGTTGATCCTCTTAAGTTGAAAACATTTACAAATACTATAAGAGGATTGATAAATTATATTTATAACATGCATTGATTATAATAAATAATAGAAACACACATAGATATCTAGAGAGGGAGAGAAGTAGACCTAGACAGAGAGACACAGAGAGAGAGAGAGAGGTATATCCTTTCATTATATATCTCTATACTATACCGTAACTATATGTTATAGCACATGTTTCAACTACATGCTCATTTGAAAAAAAATGAAATCTTTGAGGTGATTCCATTGATATGCACTCATGCATGCACAACCGATCTATGCGTTGTCGATTATGAAAATGAAAAGTGTAGGCTTAGCTAGTGACGTGTTAGTCTGTCACGTACGAGCACCCATTATATGCTAATTAGGCAAAGAAATGATACAGAGGTGAATAGAAAGATTTGTTATGAAATTTTCCTTTCTATACGTAATGGCTATACAACGATTAGCCATGCCAAAGATAGATCCTTCCATGTCCATCCAAAGCTCATCTTAGAAGATTGAAATTGCATTTGAGATGATGAAAATGCATATTCAATCCCTTGCACTGTATGGATTTGAGATTAACAGCCTTGTGCTGTGTGTGTGTGTGTGTGTCTGCAATTGGCTGGTTGGGCTATTGACCACGATCATTCTGATTTAATGAGTGTTGTTGGTTAATATGATGTCCAAACATGGATATGTATTTTGACTTCAATATGCCCTCCTCACTTATCTTCTGATGTTTCATTCAATTTTTTTATTTGAAGAGTCATGTTAAATAAAGAATAAACTATTATTAACTATATATATATACAATATATATTATTATTATTATTATTATATACTGCGGAAGAGGTGAATAGAGGTTGATGTCGGTTGAAGGGATACAACTATCCAACATGCATACAAAACCCTTACATGTACATAGATGAGGTCAGAAAGGTTCATGAAGTCGTTGAACGAAATGTATGTATGTTCTATCCATCTTATATATGGTCTTCAATCGGTTGCTATTATGATTTAGCATAATAATAGTTTCTTTTCACTCACCATATATGGTATACAATAGGTTGTGTCGTTGGAGAGACTAACGGAGGTAATACATGCTAGTCAGCCTTGAACACCTTTTTCTATTCCCTCTCTCTCCCCTCTTTCTCTCTCTGTTTCCATCTCTCACCTTCTCTGTCTGATTTCCTCGTGAATTACACGCAAATGCATTTGAATAGCTTTCCATTCAAAGAAGTAAAAGAGAAACTAACAGTATGGGATGAAGAGAGTTGATGATTGACCACCACAACACATAAACCATACGTATAAACTGTCTAGCTACTCTCTCTCCTTCATATACTATTACAGGTGAATGTTCTGACACTTTCTATATTTCCATGAAACTTATTGAACATCTCGTCCCCCTCACTCTCCTCTCACCTCCCTCTGCCTCGGACAATCTCAAAATGTAATATTCCTATATTAACGATGTGAATAATAAAGGAATAGTAGATTAAGAGGTCTATCTCTATGAATCAAAGCTCTCTTGATCACCATGTCATAGACACCGGCTTCAACGAACTGTACAGATTCATCATCACATACAAAGTGCGATTAGATTGCTCTTCAGAATACCAATAACTCTTCATCCATAGATATGCATATCCAATGGCTCGTTCTTCATGTTTAGCGCATATCATCCGTCCACTGCTGTTGTCAAACCATTTATGACCAAGATTGGCAGTAAAAAGGAGGAAGAAGAAGAAAAAAAAACCAAAAATCATGGGATTTAGAAAGGAATAACCTTCTCCGATAATTTTATGGACAAATTCCATAATTTTTGTGACCTTTGGTCAAATCACCGTCCATATAAGTCATAGAAATCTATTTCTCGGAAAAAAGGAGCCAAACGAGGAATGAATGCCAAAATACGAATAAACAGATGATTAAGGAACATATAGAGAGAGAGAGACATAGAGAGAGAGAATGCCTTCAGAAGGAATTTAAGAAAAAAAACAGAGGAAGAAGGAAGGGAGTTCGAAATGTGACCTTTGAAAGGAAAAGTATCACACAGAGTGTCGTGCAAGAACTACCGTTCGCCCCCTCTATGGAACTCTCATCAAAAATCTTTTTTCATTCCTAATTTGATGAGACAATGGAAACGTACACAAGATGTATTTCCTTTGTAT